GTAAACACGTTTTTTCTTCCACGGCAGATTTAATCGGAGAAGATTGAGCAACGCCGGTCGATCGATGTAATTAAGCTTGTAAACAAATTATGGATGCCCGGACGTGCATGGCGATCAGGTGAAATTGTAATGAATTATATAAGCTCGTTAGAAATTGGATTCGCCGCGATGCGAGGAATGCGATTGGTATTTCTTATGTCCCTTTTTATTACTTATTCGTTACTTCGTTAATGAGCTGCGTTGCGTAATGCATCCATTATTGGGCAACGCGTGGAAATTGTGTAGACGGTTTTCGTTACGTGTGCTCACCGTAGTTCGTATTGTTCGAGGATCGATTATTTATAGTGCAGACTTAATATTGTACGTATTTAACCCTTGGCGCTACAGGTTGCTTTGTAACCTATCGGCAACTAATTTTTATAGTATTCTCAGCGGAAATTAGAAATTCTATAATATCTCTTCGATCTTTTAGTTTCCTTCTCAATGCAAAATTTGGATGTGTGGAAAATCGAAGGCATATTCTATATCAATCTTTGCTACAAAGTATAACAATTGATAACAGAAAAATAATATTAAATTTGAACTCAAAGGGATTCCCAGCGAAAATTAGAAATATTATAACATTTCTTCGATCTCTTATTTTCCTTCTTAGTACAAGTTTTGATGTGTGGAAAATCGAATAATTGTAGGGTAGTTTCTTTAGGATTCATTAACACGTTGACTGCCGCACGATTTCATGGTACAAAGTAGTTGAAATGGAAAAAATATTAAATCATTTGATTGAATTGCATTGTTATTATTGCTGGTTCATCTAGCTGAATGTCACCACATTAGTTGGCATTATTTATAGTGTAGAAATGTTTTCAAATAATCATGGTTTAATTGAGTGAACTATAGTAATTCAACGTGTTAAAGTATTTAATATTACAACTGGTGCAGTATTGGAGCCTACAGAGGTCAAAGGCTTAACCCTAATCGGATCACGATGTGACTTTCATCGCATTTGAGTTTTTTACTTAAATTCTTTGATTATGTTGCATTTCCAAAAGGTTCTTTAGGCTTTTAACATTTAGGCCCTATAAACAAAAGCAATAACATTTTGATCATTCTTTTTATTCTTATAAGTGACTGAAAGTCGTATCGTGGTATGGTTTATAAAAACACGTGGTACGATTAGGGTTAATATTCTTTGAGACGAATGATGATTATATTGATGGTGAAATATGAAACATTCATTGGAGCAATCTATTGGAAATTCGGTTTCCCGTATGATACTCTTCACAGTATAAATAACCCGTACAGTTTCATTGGCCACAGGAACTTCCGTTTAATAAGCCCAGCCATTAAATTCCTCCAATTAGCATTGCAGCCATATTGCCAACGAGCAAAACGTATTTTCTAATGCAAATAAAAATTCCAAGACGTAGCGACCGAGGGAAATGATAATAACAACGAGTGACCGGTGTTATATAAAAGTGATTGCTAATATATACTCACAACTTTATTCTATGGGATAACCTCGGATAATT